AAATGTTGATTTTATGTAGTGTAGGAAATACATCTTTTTCCTGTTGCTGAACTATTAGCATGATTCTAGGTATGGTTTCTCCCATCGTATTCAGAAGGTCTTATTCCAAGGGACTTGCGCCTTCCCTTGCTAGTTTGGAAATCATTCTTCATTCTTGACCCACACTAGAGAAGAGATGCCATGGAAACCTCAGCCACCCATAAAAATAAAACTTTGGAGCAAGCTGAGAAATTAGACCTGAGCAATTTCAAAGGAAGTGCAAAATGACTTTTGGTCAATAGGGCTAACAAAATTTCCCCAGGGTCCTGAAAAACAGTGGCTTCTAGCCAGCCTTCAACCGGTTATCTCAACAATGTTTCTCTCTCATCCTCTTTAGCACAGTGTTTTAAACCAGTGGGACCTGTAGCAGCCCATTGTAATATTGAATGCCCCTTTTAGGTACCCAGCCAGCCAGCTAACCTGACCTGCTTTCAGGACCCTCCATTCCATTCTCTCCCCACCCAGCTCCTTTCCCCATTTTTCTTCCTCAGAAGAAACTCTGCATCCTGTCACTGCTGAATCTTCTCCTTGGTCAGTTTGGGGATTATTTTGTGGACTGGTTTTCATTATTGTTGTAGAGAAGTTTCCCCTTCTAAAGCAATTTTCCTGAGCCTGATGCTCTTCAGGTCTTTTGGATTACAACTCTCATCATCTCTGACCATTTAACCATATTGGCTGGGCCTGATGGTTGCTGCAACTCAAAGCAACATTGTAGAAAGCACGAGGATCTTCTAAAGGTTTGGGCTGAGGTTTTCCCTCCTCCTTTGCAACTCCTGGGAGTTTCCCCAGTTGTGGTGCTTATCTCCCAATTTCATCCCAGTAGCCCCATCTTAGAAACAGAGAGCGAGTCAGAAGGGGCCTCCCGGGCCATCTAGTCTGACCCCCGGCTCCAGCCAGCTCCGCTCACGACGTGCCCACCATCTTGCTTCATAGCAGTCATCGCTCAGCACCCAGGTTTGTCAGTATTCCATCCAATCGCACAAGATTGCATTGCTTACCTTTCATGCTGGGCATGGACTCCCTTCCACTCAGACAGAGAGACGGCCACCTTGGCTCTCTCTGAAGCACACCGAGAGCTTTGCAAGGGAAACGGCATGCCATAAAATGGTCGGCTGGACGCCTGCAGCCCCCATGCAGCAGCCAAGCAAGTTGAAACCTGTTGTGTGTCGCGCTCTCCGCTTTGGGGTGTGGGGTCCTAATTCCCCCGTGTGGCCACATGCTTGGCTAACAGAGCAGCCATTTCCATAGCATCTCCATGGAGCCTTCCCATTAGCAGTGAATATGTTAACCATTTTACAGGAAGAATATCCGAAGGGAACAGTGAGTCACAGACGCAAGGTGGGACTAAGCGAAGGCGGACACAGGAATAGGCTGATTCACAGCACACACCGTGCATCCGATCTCCACCCAAAGGGACTCTTCTGGGGAAGTTCAGCAAGAAACTCTCTCTCCTGTGTCAACACCAGCAGCCATGTCACCAGGCTGCAGCAGAGGGAGGGGAGACAAAAAGCAGGGCCGTGTCTCCAGTCCTGCTGAAAGGTCACTTCCCCCCCCACAACCCCCCTCCTCCTTTCTCCCAAACCCATTTTCCTTTGGGGTCAGATCTTCTTGAACTGTAAGCCTGCGGCCAGGGACTGCCTTGAGTTTTTTGATTGCAAATAAGCTACTGTGGAAGTCCTTTTGCCTGCAGAGCAGGATAAAAATATTCGACACAATGAATAAAACTGCTGCAGCAGATAAATGTTGGCCCTACCCCGTTTGAGGGTAGTTCAGAAAGCTCAGTTCACCAGAAACTGAAGAGACACACTTGACTCAGCAATACAGGAGAATCTTGCCATGACCGTATTCACACAACATCCCACTCCTTGCATTGTGTGCAGTGGATGGAAATGTCTCCTTTGAACAACTGAGGAACCAAATTCAGGAAGTTGAATTCATCCTGAACAAACACCTGCACCTAAAGTGAGCCTACATTTTGATCGTTCCCTGTCCTGTTGTTTTAGAGCCATCTCTTCATACGCCTCTATTACCATCCAGCTTTTTATCAGAGTATCTAATGTTATAGATCTGTGGATTTTGCTTTTGGGTGTTAATTGTTTTTGGAAACAGTGTTCGCTTGAACTTGGATGATGAATGGGATATGAATATTGAAAAGAAACTATCTGTGAGCATACGTGCTGTCTGCACTTTCTCTTCCTATACAGCCACATGCCCTGTCGAAAAAACAAGAAAGAGAGAGGAGAGGAGAGAAGGCCCTTTGCCCTGTCAAAACCAACGGGAGGTAAGTTGTGGGGAAAAGTACAAAATTACAGGGCATTGGGAATATTCAGGGAGCTGCGTGGCTAATAGAGCGAGCTAAAAAAAAACCCTAATAAATGAATAATAAATAAAAAGGGGAAAAATGATCTTGCTGTGAAAGAGATGTCTCATCCTGGTTTTGCAGGCCATAGATGCCTCATGGCTTGACAGCTTACCTTTTGGCAGCTGTAGAAAAACACACACATGCTATTCAAAAACAAAACAACATTTCTTGCTTGGAGTCACTCCAAGAAAATGTACACGACCCGCCCTGCACTTCACCTCCAGGAGAGCGAGCGGGCGTGCGAGCAGCGTGTGTGCAAGCCAGCCTCTCGGACTCCCCTGGATTTGCTTCCTCTGAGACCTCTGCAAATACTTGCCGCAAGGCAGGTTTAGGGCAAAGGGAAAGCACGTCGGGGGAGCCAAGCGGGGGGAATCCAATGGATCCACAGCCCGAGACTGGATTCCTCAGCCATCCCTTCCCCAAGGAATTGCCCAGCTGAGGTTTCCTATTTTCGTGCATGTGGAGGTCCACAGTTGTGCAAGTACAACTAAAAATAGGAAGAGGCATGACAATGTGTGCACATGGCGGGCAAAAGCATACAAAAGCGTTGCCGAGCAATTTTTTTTTTCAATTTATATCCTGCCTTTTTCCTACAAGGGGCTCAAGGCAGCTTACATCATGCTCCTCCTCCATCTTATCCCCACAACAACAACCCTGTGAGGTAGGTTGGGCTGAGAGTCTGACTGGCCCAAAGTCACCCAGTTGGCTCCATGGCTGAGCGGGGACTCGAACCCAGATCGCCTGAGTCCAGTCCCATGGTCTTAACCACTACACCACACTGGCTCTCACACCGCACTTTGGAGGGCTGTTGCTGGATGTCCGAAGGGTTCTTGTGAAAAAAGGGCTGTCAAAGCACACACTGTAATCTTGACAAAAGGTTAAGGGCAGCGAGGGGGAAATACAGCTAATAAAAAGGCTTGCCATCCCAGGGGGAGGAAAGTCAGCCCGTGAGCGGTGCTTCGGAGTGCCACGTGGGCATTTGGGGGCAGCTGGCTGGAGGTGGCCCAGGTGAGCTTGGCATGAGCAGCAGGTAGGTTCCTTCGCCCCTTCGCCTGTCAATGGGGAGGGTCAGTCTGGCTTGGAAGATACCCCAAGCCGGCAAAGCCAGTCATTGGTTTCTCCTGTGTAATCAAAGCTACTTTTTAAAAGTAGTAGCATAAGGAGCACTCTGATGCTGGGAATGATTGAGGGCCAAAGGAGAAGGGGATGGCAGAGGATGAGGTGGCTGGATGGGGTCACTGGGGTGGTGCGTGTGGTTTGGCTGGACTCCAAGCGAAGGTGGAGGACAGGAGAGCCTGGAGGAATGTTGTCCGTGGGGTCATGATGGGTCAGGTATGACTTTGCGACTAACGACAAGCCTAAGCAGCATTTCATGGTGGTTAGAACTCTGAAATAAGTCAGAGAGAATGTGGAAACTGTGGGTTTCCATGGCTGTGGTACAACTTGGCCCAAATGGCCACTAGTGTCATTGATGCAACAGGTTTGCAGTTAAGCAGATACAAAAATAAGGAAGTCTTTTGCATGAAGGTGGGCAGATATACAGCCCCAGTATCTTTTAAATGTGTTTTTAATGTGTTTTTGAATGAACAATTGGGCAGGACACTGCTTGCATGGTTTCCTTATGTCTGTACAGGTAAAAAGACTAAAGACTTGCTTTTTAAGGTAATCTGAATATTCAGGGAGGATTCTAAAATGTGATGCTAATAGCACCGTGTATGGTTATGGCGGATAAATGGAGAAAGCTGGAGAAATTTCAGAGGACATACGATGCCCTCAAGGAGTTTCAGAACAGGTCAATATTATAAATGTCATGTGCTAAGTTCTTGACCGCACTACTTAAAGATAGACTTCCCAAGCAAAGTAGTCAGTGCTGAAACCACAGTGTTTGCAGAGAAAATTAAGCATAAGGATATGTATGAGCAGCTTTTAATCTTTGATTTTGGAATTAGTCTGTATTGAAGACTGTGACCCTCCTCTCACTCAGACTTAGTGGGACTTGAAACATGCCTAAAATGGTGTAAACAGGCTTCCTCAGCCTGAATATCATGAACTCTCCATAGTTGAGAGCTTGCTCAAATCAATTCGAAAGGCCTCATGACGTAAAGGGCATGTTTACTGGGGCAAACTCTGAGTTCCTTCAGCTTCGATCACAGTGCTTGGGGGCTTATTCCTGCACAGACTGGTAGGCATTTCAAAAGCAACTATGAGGATTTAAAGACTCAGGTGCAGGACACATGCCCGTGTTAGCATTCTGAGAATGCTAGTGCCAGAAAACACAAATAATCTCAGGGAGAAAGTGCATGTTTTCCCAAATAATTCAATTTTTAGTTCTACCTTGTACATCTTTCAAGCATCCTTTCCCAGGACACATTAGTGTCCTTGCAGATCAATAAGAGAAAAGTGAAATCTTTGATGACAAATCCTAATTCTTTAGACGAGTTCCACCAGCTGGGATGAAAAGGATGGTATTTACTTCCCTTAAGTTGCAGCATAGATGAAAAGAGCAAAGCACATCTTTAAAGCTTTGGGTCAGTATCTTAGCATATGGGAGGAATCCAAAGTAAAATGAAAAAGATGCATGGAATAACAAAAAAAAAAATCCACTGATGATCTTTATTAAATTTCAGTGCTTCCATAAAATAAATATGTTGTATAATATCAAACAGTGAGAAATAAAGTATGAGAAGCATGTAACAAAAAAATACACTCATGACAGTGTTTAATACTTAGCACTTTTAGAAATAAAGCCTTTCCTTATTTACATGGTAGCCAACTATTGAACAAAATTTACAGCCGACCTATTTAAAAGTACTGTAGGGGAATGAAAACTGAGAAGACTTGCAGTGGAAGACCTTCATTTGCATTTCTCTAGTTAGCGTTAATTACTCTATTTCTCTCCCCTTCTATGCACAACTCACTTTTCATTCCAAGTATTATTATTTTAACTTCATTTTAAATAATAACATGGGATTGTTTTAGAGAATCAGCATTTCTCATCTCTCGTGTAGGAATAGTGTCCGTTGCACTATATGAAACATATTCAAATAACACTTCAAGTAGAAGTAAACATGTGCAAACCAATGTGCTTCTCTAGAAAGAGAAGCCCAGGCAGAAGAATCACAGTAAGAAGTGCTCTGGCCTCGATAATGGATAAATACAGACTGGAAAAACAAATCGTAATCGTCACTTTGAGGGAGGAACAGACGTATTTTAAAACAGACTCGATTATTAATCAAAACTGCCCTTATTATGAGACCAGATATAAATAGGTTCTTTTTGGAAGGGGGGAAAAAATACACCACTTTAAAGGTCTTAACTCAGGATTTAATATTTCAAGGTGGAAAAAAAAACCAACAACAAAGCCATCAGATTTATTTGAGCCTTCAAAACAAACGCATACCAGTTTTAAAACTGCTAGCATATGGAAATTGGGTTGTTTCCTTGTTTCTTAGGATATAACCTGTCCCCATAGGGAAAAAACCTAAAAAGAGCGTGTTGCTCCAGTTCAGAGCATGCTGCTCATCTGGATCCACTCCCCCGACCCCCTCCCCAAAAAAGGACAAAGTAGAATTACGTATCAGGACATGATTAAAAAAGTGTTAGAATTTGTGATCATTAAGTGCACCATTATACAGGAGTAACGTGCTCTGAGTGAAAACATTCTACCATTACTAGAATCTGTCTTATTAAAAAGACCAAAAATGTTAGGGTACTAGTTGAAACAAAACAAACAAAAAAAAATAAATCCAAGATTGACTGTACTTCATTCAGCGTGCCTCAAATTTCAGACGGGGGGGTATTCCAGCCTGTAGCACCTGTTTGCTTCTTCATGATTGTGTTGCAGAAATGTTCATCAGCCATAATAATTTGCATAAGTCCTCCATTTTAATTTTAAAAAGACAGCTTTTCCAATCTTTCAGTGCTTATAAAGAATGTATACTATAGGTAAACTTTGTTCTGAGCAGCAAGGAATGGGTTTGTTTTGTTTCCTCCAGCAGTCAGAGCCTGGCTTAATATTGGCAGTGGATACAGTACCAATCGTTCCGTATGCTGTCAGGTGCCCAGAGTTGAAAAGGAAAGTTAACTTTTCTTAAAGAGTATTCCTCAAAAGCTTGCCGCATACAGCCTGGTCCTCTGTTATTTTCCCAAAGAAGCAGCGTGTCCTATCTTTGAGAAGGATTGCCAGGGGTTGGGAGGAGAAACCAGAAGAGAGGGGGGAAAGCCAGAGTTTGTACCGATGAAGAACTTCAAGTAAAAGGAAATCCACTGCTTCTGAGCTTGCTACATGCACCTTCCCTCCCGTGAAAAGCCTTTGTAATTCGCAATGGGTGTAACAGCTGTTTGATCATTCACACAAAACTAAGAACGTTGAAGCGGTTTCTTCATTCTTTCCTTGCATCCATGTTTAAGCTGCTTCTTAAAAAAGGAGTATGGTTCTGCTTGTTTCATACCCAAATCAGAGGCTGGAGGGGATGTCCCCCTCCATAAGATCTACATAGTCTCCTACGGAAAGGTAGTGTCATTTGCGAGTCTGAGTCTTCTTTGGCACTGCAGGTCGCTTGGGTTGCCACAAGTGGTTATGAATCGTCAGGGCGTCGACGCTGACGGACATGGTTTTGGCTGGGATCAGGTTAAACTGCTTTCTGTCCGAGCTATACTTATAAAGCTTGTCGATCATTTTCTTGGTGATGCTCTTTGGCCCCGTTCCGGTCAGCTTGTAGATTTCTTCTGTGTCCGGATAGTAGCAGTAAAGTGCTCTGAACTGGCAGCCGGCATCGCGGAACAGGATAATGTAGTGGTTGGCATCGCACTTCTCAAGCTCCTAGAGGGGAAACAGAGGTTTGGGGACTGAGGGCCGTGGGAACCAGACCGAGAAAGGAAACTGTGAAGAACAGGTCGGCGCTGACTACTGAAGAGCTTCGCCCCTGCCCTGTGGCACAATTTAAACCTGAACTGAACTGCACTCCAAACCCATGCACAGTGTTTTCCAAAGGGCTGGCTGGGAGCCAACACACGACAGTAAGGAGGCAGTAGAATAAACAGCATTCTTTAACCGGCTCGGGGATGGACCTCCGCCAGCTGCTGATGTTGCAAGCGACTGCACTCATATTCACACTGCACTATGTCATTCCCAGAAGCTTCTACATTTGCCCGCTTGGCCTGACACATCAGATGGTGTGCATGGCAAAGGCCTGTGTGCGAGGATCAACCGATCCTCGTTCCGAGAAATACTTGCCTCCAATATGGAATTCTTGTGAGGCTCATTCACTTTTCCCGCAAGACAGCAGTGGGAGATGGCGTTGTGGATAATCGGTTTGTTAGACTTGCTGCTGGGCTCCTTAAAGAGCTTTGGACCTACCGAGAGACAACAAACCGACAGGAAACATGCTGCATTAAAGCAATTTAAGGAGCGAGAGAGAATGTTTAAGGTTCGGAACAGCGCTTATTTCAAACCATGAAATCGATGCTTGAACTGACTTCATGAGGGGAGAAACGGGAGAGCCGAGAATGGCAAAATACAACTTCATCACAACACATACTTGCAAGAGTAGTCCCCAGACTTAGTGATACTGAAGAGTGGTTTGAGATTCAAATTAGCCAGGCTAAAGTCTACTCTTGGTAAGTCTGACTGCAGCCAATTTTGTCTGAACAGTCACACTGGACCAGGGAACGAAAATGACTTGTGCAATCAGTGAAGCGTGCAGTGGTCGGGAGCCGCACATGCACAAGTCTCCTGGTACGAGCCCGATTCGGTTTTAAAGGGTGCCTCAAAACACCTGGAAGGCTGCCCAGTTCCCTTCTTCCTTGGGAGGTCCTGTAACATTTCTCCTCTTGATGAGCGGTTCACAGATTAGATTCCTATTGAGCTGCTTAAGCATTGTGTTTCTGGAGGGGGCAATCTGGTTCACGTCCTTGGTATTTGCAGTGCTTCCAGCCTGTAAGCTAAACCGCTTGTGAAAAAGGAAGCAGCAGCACATGGCTGGAGATCTGTGCTCTTCTCCCGCCCCCCCCCCCCCGGCCGTTTAATGGTGTGTCCTCAGCCGTAATGGAGCCTGAGAGACAAGCGTGCCCATTTCTTCCAGGTTGCATGACCCAGGGCGTCAAACTCTTTCATGACACTTTGTGGGAGAGTGAAAGAGAGAAGCTACACTGGTGCCTTTATTATTTTGAGGGGGCAGGTGCAGGGAGATCATTCGCTCAGCCTTTCATTTGATTTGCTGTAGGAATTTGGACAGGCTGCCTCCCTGGAAAAAGGCTTGGGTTTGGGGAACAGCTCTTTTTGAAACTGAGTAATTTTTCCCAGCCTCTCATGGACTCGTGGCTAAAGAGGTAGTGCTTTTTGATTTTTTAAAGTCATGCATACTGGGAAATGTGGAAATTGCAGCGCCCTCTGTGGTCTGACCATTCTCCCTTCCCTTGTCTGAGTGAGCATCCACTGGGGTAATGGAAGAATTATTACCAGGTTGCCAGACTCTGGTTCTATTGGAGGCTCCATAAGCTGTGAGAACTGTAGGAACTTTCTCGTGGATCTCAGAGGAGGGGTGGAGAAGTGTCAGGTTGGCCTGGTTGCGTGACTGAGTGCCAGCTAATTTTTTTATTCCCCAGTCTCGTTCTTGGGAAAAGGAAAAAGGAAGAATCTGAAGCACAATAGGTTGTGACTGCCTTTGCCAGAATAACCGGATCTTTTGCCCTGTTTATCTAGCAAATGGAATGTCAACGCCTCTAAACCTCCCTGTTTCAGCTGGGGGAGAACGGCTCTCGTCAGCCAGGGAGAGATTCTGAACGGAAGGGGGAAAGCCATATGCAGATGACCCTGGTGCGTCATAGCACAGACACAGCTAGAGCATCTCTTACCAGTATATTCTGCGACTGAAGCAATGGAAGAAGCAGTTGAGGTGTTCTCCCAATCTCTCTCCATGTTTCGACTTGGGTTCCTACTCAATATGGGCAAGGATTCCATTGACTCCACTCTACCGGAGCAAACAAAATCCACAGTTCGTGAGCAGCGTCTTCCCAGCCACCAGACATCTGGCACGCTTCCAGACATTTTGAAAAGTGCATCCGACTTCTCTTCCCCCCACTTTCCTGGCTCCAATATGTGTTTCTTTCCTGCTCTGCACTAAGACAAGCTAGGGAGGAATAGCCTTGAACAAGCAAAGGACTGTGCTGTACCTTATGAAGGAATGAATGCATTCAGGTGCAAATTTCTCTGGCTGCGTGAAGGAGTCTCCTCGGTCAGAAAGGGTGCGTGTTAACACAAGGGGCGCCCTGCAAATGGGCCCTGGCAGGTCAGCTCTCCACTGCACCGCCCACTGTGCCTTGCTCGCGCCACCCTCACCCCTGGGCCTCCCAGCATCCTTCGCCGCGGAACCAATCTGGTCTTTCCTTCCCCCTGTCCCAGTTGCGACATTTGTCATTGACCGTTGTTTTTATTCCCCAGAGCCTCAAAAAGTACAACTGGGGTCATGTGCATTTTAATATTTTTCTTTCAGCCCAGAAAATGCCACAGCAGTGTTTTTGGAACTGGGAAATACAGGCAAGGGGAAGGGCTAGGGAGTCAGCAATTTGTGCACTTAGGCTGACAGCTATGTTCGTTCAATGCACAATTTCCCCCTCCATTCACGACCCAGTTGCTAAATTGCTATATATATTTCCCAGCCTAAAAAGCTGCACATATTTTAGGGCTGCCAAAGAACCACAGAGATTGCAGGACCTGGGGCTCTAAAAAGGGATGGGGGCATGAAGTTCTCCCTTTCCTGGAGCAGCTAGAGGCTGAGGCTTGTCCGTTCAACACTTAAAATCAGGAGGCTTGGACTGGAAATGGGGGAAATGTTGTCCCCACTCACACGTGCTGCTTCTGTCCCTATTCGTCCCCCTTTCAGTGGCGCTTGTCAGCTGGCAGCTGCCAGGGGTGTGCCAATTAGTCCACAGGCAGTCTTGCCTTGCCATGTCCTTCTGTTACCTGCCCCACTTCACCAGTCCCATTGCCAGCTGAAGCAGACAAGGAAATGGATTGGACAAGACCAGACCGATCGGACAGCCTAACAGTGCGCCTGCTAAGAACTGGCAGTAACAAGGACTGCACCAGCAAAAGAAAAAGAGAGACAAGCCGCGTCCTGCACTCCAAAGTGCTACCTGGGCCCTGATGGAGGGGCTGCAGCTGCAGCTGGCGTGGGCAAGACTGCAACGAGCAAGTGGGGGTGGTGTGGGGGGGGGGCGGGCAGCCAGTCCTGCCGAGCAGTGGGCTGGCTGATCCCCATGTGCACGACGACGACATGGCAACCCACCATGGGTCGAACAACCCCTACGAGAAGCCGTCCATTATCAAAGTAGGTTGTTGCTGAAAATGAAGCCTCCCTGTGGGAAGTGATTTGGAGTCAGATGATAGGACAACCCGCTGTGAGTAACTATGCAACACGTTGTCCTGCTGGGCAAACGGGGCCATTTGGTACGTTTCTAATCCATCGAGCTCTCCGCAGTTGCCACATACAGCCAATCGGTGCTTACAAAGCTCTGTGGTTTTATGCCTCAGCACCGCATGAAACGCCACCTGAATCTGAGACGCTCCCTCTGTGTTGCCGGGAACACACGGCCACTTAGAAGTTCGTCTGCAGGATGGATGTGGCTTCCCGGCTATGCTCCCCCACAGCTTCGTCCTTGGCCCCCGAGTTCCCTGTTTGTGGCTTCTCTTACCGCTGTGATGGGGTGCCACCAGAATGAAGGCTTTCGGGCTCCGTCGTTGCTGCTGATGCCAGGGACAGGCTGGAACCTGACTGTGCACTGCTCAGATTATCCGCTGGCAAAGAGAGAAAGAGAGGGAGGTGCTGCGTAAGAGAAATAAGGTATTTCGTTAGGCCAGTGTGGAAGCTGAAATGGGTGCCACTGCTTACGAGTAGAAGAACACTTCGTTCCCGAGTCACTGTAGGACTCTTCCCGATGGACAGATTTCGGCCTGGGCTTCTTGGTTTTGGTCTTGGGCTTCCCAAGGCCTTGCTCTTCCAAGATCTGCTGTTGCTTTCTTCTTAGATATTCTTGTTTGATGAGTTCTCTCCTGGCTTTCTCTTCTTCCTTCCGTATTCGGTCTTCTTCGGCTTTGCGACTGAAAAAGCAAACACGGATTTTACATCAGAGCACTCCCAATTTCTCAAGAGAGGGGAAAAACACAGCCTGCTACAACAAGTTGTTATTATTTACCGAGCTTCATCTCTCTTTTGTTCGACCTCTGCCTCAAGTTGTAGTTTCCGAAGCCGTGCCTCTTCGGCTTTCCGCTGTTGTTTTAATAGGAAAGCTGCACGTTTCTTTGCGAGTTCATCTTCTGCTTTCTGCTCATCCTGTGTTATTGACATTCAGGTAAGAAGCAGTGTAACTTAGGGAAGATGGAGAAACACCAAAACAACATCTCATGCCTCTACAGAGAATATTATGTTTAGCTGCCATCTACAGAGTTGCTACTTTTTCCCTCTGTGGGAAACAGCAAATGTATAGCTTTATGGTTCTTAACTCTGGTCAAGCTGGCAAATGGAACAGTATTTGCTCCCAACACTGTTTGCCCAAGGGCACCTAATACAATAGACTTACTGGAGTTACTCAAGTCTGGGGTTTGATCAATGCCTGAATGAGAAAGCAGCTGGGAAGCCTTTTTTATGCATGCTGCCTTGAATTCAGTCAAAGATGAAACACAGTCACATACATACATAAATAAGCAGTAAATAAACGAAATAGGACACAAATATTAAGAAGAGCAGATACCTTTATGAATTTGATAGTAACAAAAGAAATTCTAAAAGTCCATCTACTTGCATTTGTTCCAACCAACCTTCCAAATCCAGCCTGTGTGGGATGGGAAAAGTATAATTTCAAGTATTCTATCAAAAAAGTCCTCTAAACCATTCTTCCTTGTGAAAAAATAGCCTCTTGATTGCATGCTCAATTTTAAAACATAGTTTTAAGAAGAGGAGAGATTAACAAGGTGTTGCTTTGCTCTTACCTTAAAGAAAAACCCAACTCCTGACTTCTGGTCAATTTCGCTGATCACGTCCGTTGAGCTGCCCTGGCTCTCAACCTCCCCTTCCTCGTCTGGGGCTTTCAAGTCAGAGAGGTCCACTTCAATAAGGCTAGCTTTGTTTCTCAGAGGTTCTTCTGCTGGGATATTTTCTTTTCCTGAGCCATCAAAAGAAGCAAGGTCTTCTATGTTACTGTTCACATCTTTAATGGCTTCGGAGAGAATATTTGTGTCCTTAGAGGCAGGCAGTAGAAATCCACCCCGCTGGTTGTTCTCATCGCAAAGTCTGTAGCTGTCAAAGGAAAGTTTCTCCTGAGGAGTGCTACCTGGATCCATATTATTTTCAGGCGCCGTTTCAGTCAGCATCTTGGATGAATTGTTTGATGGAAATTGTCTCAAGTGTGGCAAGGTGTCCACGCTAGGAGTTGGGGTTTTGATGCGTGTTGTGGTTGGCTGGCGGTCCTTGGATACTTTCAGTTCGGATGGCCTTCCCAAGCGGGGACTCCGTCCTTGGCTGAGTCGAGGCGGCTTACGAAGACTACTCATGCCTGTAGGGGACAGGGGCTCCACAAAATGAACCGGCGCTTTTATCTTTTGGTCCTGAGCACTGCTCCTCAAGGATGGCACAGTTGGCGCCTTCATAAGAAGTTCCTGCTGCTGAGAAATCTTCAGTATCGCCTGCTGCAGGGTACTGATGGTTTCGTTTAGCTTTTCAATGGAAAGATCGCATTCATTGATATCGGCCGATTCAATGTTCTCCTCTAGAAGTGCAGCAGAAATCATTTTGCTTTTCTCTATCTCGTGCACGGTGGGCTCTCTCGAATTGTTTTGCTCAGCAAACACGATGCTTTCGTGGGCCTTCACCTTGGGTGCTCCAGGGAAGTCAAGCACATCTTCCTCGCCTTCCTCTTTCATGAGGAATGCCTCAGACCTCGAGTTCAGGGTCTCATCCTCTAAGCCTTCCCCGTTGTGCCTTGAATATTCTTTTGTCAAATGCTCTGGCTTAACTGGCTGAGAAACATCAGGGCTTTTCCCTTTCTTCACTACATGCAGGAATGCCGCCTTGCCAAGTTTTAGCCGCTGCCTGGCCGACAGGGCTTCCATCTTCTTTTTCTGAGCCTCGATCGCTCGTCGCTTCTCCTCCAACTGCATATGAAGCTGCACCAGTTCAGAAGCCAGCAGATTGGCATGTTCTTTGCTCTGCCTGTTGGGACTTTGCTCCCTCTTCTGTTTCCATGTCGTTAAGGGGGCGGGACAGCACTCTGATCCATCTGGAGTGGTCTTCTGTGAGCTGCTTGTGCTGGACTTGGTTTCATAGCTGTTCAGCCTCTGAAGCTTCCGCTCAGCAAAGTTAGTCATCCTGGTGCTCCCGCTGGTCATGGACACGCTACTGACCTGAGAAATCGTACTCAAGCACGGACTTGACCGCCCACTGGCATCATCTTTATCTTCGTGTTCCTTAACCTTCATGTCTTCCTGTAGCTTTGCCGATTCCTCTTCTCCAATGTACTTGGCAATTATCGGGTGGTCATCGGCCATGAAGTCCTGTTCGGCTTCCTCCATGTCTAGAATGTCTGAGTCAGAGTCTTGCCTGACCATCGCCCACGAGGTATCAGCAGTGCGGGAATTCCCACTTTTCACAGCATCGAGATTTGCACTGCCCATCACATCCTCCTCGGCATGAAGAAAGAACCCTCCAAAGGACTGTTCTCGAGAGGAAGCCTCTAAACTGCTGCACGCTTGCGGTCGAAAAGGTTCTACTCTGGCATCTGAGTGAACTGTCAGGTCTGGCATGCCAGAAACTGCAAGAGTTGTTAACTCAGAACTAGAAGGTACATTAAAAGTCCTATTGAGGTTGTGGTCCACTTGGCTGCTATTTGCTTTCTTGCGGATGAATGCCGAGTGCCCCTCAGTCAGCCTCTTTGCGACAAAGCCTCTGCTCTTCCCTTCCCCACACTCATCCTCCTTATTGATTAATTGTTTTTCTTTTGCTGGCCGCAGCACCGCTGGCATTAAAGGTTCCAGGAAAAAGCTCTCTGGCTTGCTTTCGGAGGCTTCACTGGGCGATTTCTGAGCCCACGCAGTTGCAACCAGACCGGGTGATCGAGCCGGCACGCTCTGGAGTTCAAGGCTGCTGTGGACTGGAGTGGTGCCGGGGTGGATGATTGCGATCAGTTCTTCGTCCTCGTCTTCCATTTCAACGTTGTTCAGTAAGCTTTTCCCGTTGTTTTTCATCGGTGCAGACAGAGGCTGCTGTTTTGGAGTGAGGCTGACAATGTTGGACGCTAGACTGTCTTTGCTGATGGACCGGGCCAAGCTGATGCTGTCGCCGGAGCTGGGGTCTGCATCGCTGCTTGCGGTGTGGTGGAGCCCAAACGGCATCGGTTGAGAAAGAGGCCTAGGAGAGAAGACAGGCCGTTGGAAATAATTAGGAGAGGTGGAGGGTTCTTAAGAAAAAACGATCTGTCTAGACAGAGTATAAGTAACATGCAACGTAATCGGGCACATTCAAGGAAGGGGACGTGTATTTGGAGTTCTGGATCCCACTGTCACGTACGTAGCATTTTGGGTAAGGAGCCTTCTGCAGAGTGGTCGTCAACAGCTGAGGCAGGACCATCCAGTCTCTCGTGAGCAATGTTATCCCCGAGGCCAGTTGATGTTGCCCATGGCCTGCCATTTTGTGAGAATCAGATTGCTAAACAACGGACTCTGAACGGGTGTTCCCAACTCCCCAGCGATTTCTCACTATTAGGTGAATGATTGCCCACTCCCATTTTCCCCCAGTTCCCAACTTTCACATATCCTGAAGCCGAATACTCTTCTTCCTACATTGCCCTCTTTCCAGAATGCCCATTTTAATAAATCCATAGCAAAGCAGTCACAGACGGATGGAAAAATCAGGGTGTTCACCGCTGAAAATCCCAACCGGCTGGCTGCATTGTTATCAGGCATATTAAAATATTATCGTGGCAGGTAGGACACATGTATTGGCCTTTTTGCCCCAAAGCTGTATCATATTTCAGCGACATGTGCTCCATTTTTAATTTGTTTTTCCAGCAAAGGTAACCCAAAACACATTACCTTTGCTTCTTTTCTGGCCATGCGAGGACTGAGTCCCGGGGATGCCCGTCTACTTTAGTCAGTGAATTAGAACGATGCCGCTGGCCTGAAAAGGGGGGAAGGGAAGTCACATAACTTTTTGAAGACATACTTTAAATATGTTAAGGTCCTAAGTGAGACTTCTCCCTGTGAGGGCAGTATAAAAATTGCTCAAGGTACTTACACAATGGTAATATTATATAACTGATCCTACCTACAATGAATTGCTGACTGGGGCTGGCATAAAGCTCAGTCTAGAAGATACTTGCTATTAATCGGACTGTATCTTAGTTCCAAATAATTATGTGTAGGATCTCAGTTACAGAAGAAGCAGGTGGGGTACTCCTGCCTTTGAATAAAGGAATGCAGTTGACACCAGGGCACCCCTCCCTAATTCATGTGGAAGCTGATACTCATTCATGCACAGTATGAATGCAATTGGGAAGTTAAGATTTATTTATTATTTGATTTGCATCGGGGTCAGTCCAAGCAGCAGCAGCACACCTGGTCTCCCGCTTCCTGTTGCAAACTCAGTAGATTAGAGTCCATTCAGGATCTGCCAAAAATTAGTCACTTTACGTTGCTTACCTCTGCAATGAAGGCTGCAAGGAGCCGCTGCTCACTCTCCTTTTTTGGCTACCCCATTGCTGTCTGTCCCAGGGCCTCAACCCCGAAGGGGCAAGCTCTGCCTTGGCCTACTGTAACAGCTTGCTATTCTTTGTCTGCAGAGTTCCCTTCATCCTCCGCTGTCTGTCAACAGGAGCTCCGTGGTGCTGCCTCCCCAGTGACCAAATTTCAGGACCATTCTGCCACCATTCAAGTTTTGCACATAGAGGGGACTGCATATACGCCACGAGAGAACCTGGTACGTACCTGAGCTGTCCTCCCCCTGCAGAGACTTCTGCTGCTTCTGTCTCAAAGGCAGCAGTGGATGGGATGGGCTGAAGGCAGGGCTTCCTTTCCCACTGTTTTCAGAACACAAATGCACAGAATAAGACCTTTCAATGGGAGCTTGGTTTGGCAGCTAGAAATAATGCTGTAGTAGGCAGAGTATTACCAGTTATGTGACTTGCCCGTCCTTTTTTATCAAATGCTAACACACAGCTAAAAACACAGCAAGACTGATCCTAAAACTATAGGCCAGGACTGCAGGAAATTAAGAGATCATGCTTAAGCTATCTATCTATCTATCTATCTATCTATCTATCTATCTATGGGACTTCTATGCCGCCCCATTTGCCGAAGCCTCGGGGCGGCTCACACCCATAAATAAAATGAGTCACTTTATCTTAAAATGAAGCCATATTTTAAAATGGATTAAGACAGATGGACAGCACAAGTCACAAGTAGTCCAGGAAAGGAAGGGGATGGGGGGGAAGCACTGAACACTGACAAAATTGTAACTGGAGCCCATGTTCCCCACTCAGAAAAGGAGCTGGTTCTGCGTGCATTAAGTCCTGTCAGGTTGCCTCCGAGTTGGGGTGACCCCAGGAATGAAAGCCCCCCACAAAATATATCCAAGTTCTGACGATCTTAAATAATGACAATACCCTCAAATTTGCATTTCAAAATGGCAGCTGAGGGTTGTGCAATGGACAAAGTGCAGGGGGTCCTTTAGAGTGCGACATTTCTGAGTAATTTATGAAAAGCTGTAGGTCTTGCAACCCCAAGAAACCATGACAGGGTGTCCAGACCCTACCTGGGAAGTTGCGGCGGAAGAGTAGATAGTTGCATGCATCGTGGCAGAACTGCTGTTCTATAAAGGGTGGCTAACGTGTGGCAGTACCGTTATTGCTGGATCTCTCATATATATGCCCATGTTTGGAATCTGTCTATCCATCCATCCCTCTTGACCTCTTCTTCCTCTTAAGCAATGTTCCTATAAGGAGCTTATTTTTGCACTGAGTTTATTAAAATCAGCTTGCTTGACGTCCAGGGTATACATCGGACTACACTTGACTTTGCCATTTAATAGACTGTTCATTTTCTGGTACCTAAATGCAACACTATATTCCTGGGCTTGCACTGCATATTTCTCAGATCTTTGCAATTAATTGATTGTACAATTAATTACTAGTGATTGGGACATTACAAAATGGAAAGGTGAATGTTTGATGACAAATTACCTGCGAATTAGCACTTGCCCAGCATGTCGAGATGCAAATTTGAATGTGTCTGTTGGTTTTTTGGAAACATTAGGTATCATTTCTGAATGGAAAAAGCTTTCAGATGCTTTAATTACAATTTTGTCCATGTTAAGCTGTATTCTCCCTAGACTTTTAGACTAAAAAGACAGCCAAACTTATGAATATTTGGGTATTAGTATTCATAATGTAATATAATAACTAGTATTCAGATTTTCTAGACAAAAGGTACAGTTTGCAGAATTTGAAAAGTTCATTACAACCCCCAGCTGAAGAGTAAACTGAAATTTGCCCTGTTTTGTTTCTTTGGCTGTGCTTGTCTTTAGACTCTGCTGTACAACTTAACTAAAAGTGAGTCTCCCTCTTCAGACACATGCTGCTCAGAAACAAATGAGATTTCCTCTGCCCCACAGGTAAGCTGCAACAAGGAAAGTTGATCCTATATGTGGGGTGTGCGTGTGTGTCTGTCTCAGTCTGTCTGAAGCAGCTTCACAACAGGAGACCAGAAGGAGTCATGCTTTCTTAGCCCTGGGACAGATTTGTGTAAATAAGGAGCACAGAGCCAGTCTAATGCAGAACAAAGAAAATCCCACTGCTTTTAGGACCATTCCCACTGAACAGCAGAATAGGGGATTATATGATCCTGAAGAAACAGAAGATGGTATATCCCAAAAATAAATAATATAAGCTGAGGTGTACAGAGCCTATTCAGCAGCTCTTTTGAACTGATGAAAAGACATAATGGACCAATTATTACCATACTAATGGCAACACAACTGAGCAAGTAAAGGAGGCAACAATGAACGTGTATCTCAAACAGCCATTGCCTGCGCTTTGCCCTGCTTTTGCCCACAGCAGAATGACCAGTCACTTCTTAAATTCCAGATCTGTACACACCACTGGCTGTAGCTTCCAAGCCACCAAGCTGGGAAGCAAGGCTAAACCAAGCATACAGAGGGGAAGGCAGACTTATACTTCAACTCTTCAGGGTGCAGGCAGTACCTGTTGCAAGTCTCCAGAGAGAGCTGAACTGGGGGCTGCGCATCAACTGAACCCGAGGCAGCTGGGCTAGCCATGAAACTCCGTTTGGTTGCATTGGAAATAGGAACAGGCGGGCGGCTGCTCTTCTGCTGCAACATGGTTTTAGCTAAATATTTATTGACAGTGTTAGCATGATCATAAGTGAGCTAATAGCAATCAAGATCCCTCCCAGGAGTTCTACAAACAGAATCATTTTCTACAATTTGCTATCATTGCAAGAAGCCGCTAATACCCAGAAAGCCAATTTAGAAGTCCAGCAGTCGCATCTGTTTTAACAGGCAGTGGCAGAATGCCTCATAGCAGTGGTTCGGAAACCTTTGAACAAGACTGTTCACTGTTAAAAGACACTAACTGTTTTAAGCATTCTCTAGGCATCCTTGCAGAAATGGAGGCAGTCTGCGGGTGCTGAAGGACGGGGATAGGCAAGAATGCGAAGACAGCACAAAAGGAAAAAAGACAGAAGCTGAATACATCTCCATACGTAGCAAATTTCAGATGACATTAAGTTTTGGACAGTAGAAGAGATGTAAACCTCAACCAGAGATCATGAGCTACTTCCAAGTTTTCCTGAGCAAGCCTAGCTGAAAGGAACAGTGCGTGTGCCACTGGACAAGGCAGACTCTTGATGAATTGCAGTCCATATTAATTCAAGGGAGAGTGGTGCCATCTGGATACATTTTTGCCTCCAGCCATCATCCATCTTGAGCTCCTGCTGAGCATTTCCATATGCCAAATACTGGCACAAACACTGGGACTAGTGGGAGCACAAGGGTTGGGTGTGTTACAGATCGGGAGGAGATGGGATCGCGCTGTGACTTTGCTTTAAAACACAACCAAACAGGTTTGGAGGGGTCCAGAAGGAATCTGATTCTGCCCTACTAATTTTCTGTCTCCCCTCAGAAAAGCTAGCACTACATTTTGGGAATTATGGCTACAGAGCCAGCAGGAATGCTGCGGAAGCTGGCACAATCAAACAGTGCTTTGCGATCACGCTCACTAGGCACCATCAATAACACTGCCCACTTCACGCTATGACAGCTTCATAGCTATGAAGCTATGACACGCTATGACATACCGTCTTTTACTTCCTGGAGGTCCCTGGGTTGAACGAAGTCTGGCTTGACATTCTCAAACCACCAGAACAATTCAGCAATGAAGACCATGATGTTGGGCTAGAGAAAGGATGTGAGCATTAATAGATTATTTGCAGAGCGCTTAAAATGGTGACATCCATTCAGGGCTCTTACCTTCAGAACCAAAGGTGCATATAGCATGTCCTCCAAGGTGAGGTAAAAACATTTGTTTAGGTATTCGTTGGAGAATTCACGAAGCAGCTGAATGTTATAGATACTGTCAGCAATCGACATGACTTCTTTCAGGCAGATTTCTAACAATTGACGAAAGAAGCAAGAGCAGCGTTACAAAACAACCCGCGGCGCTGCCTCAGGGGAAGCAGTTAAGAATCCCTGTCCTAACAGTGCTTCATGCGATCCTGCAGGATGCGCTGTGGCAGGGATGTTCATGGAAGGCCCAGGACTCAGACACCCCAATGTCACATGCCCCAAAGCCAATTTGGATCAGCAGTGGACACCATGATAATCCCAGCCCATAAAAAGCTACTAACAGATAGCGAGAAAACCTGCATCCTGAGGATGGAGAGGGGGCAAGGTTCAGGAGCACAGGCAACAGGTGAGAGTTTTGGGATAGTTTCCATAAGGGACTGAACCTGGGAGACCATATGGGTGGCTCGGGTTCCATGGGGAAGTTGTTAAGGATGCATGCAAGTGTAGAAAAAAAGGGAAAATGGTCCACAATCAGCATTTTGTGCCAATGACCTTTGTTAACATAACTTTCTATACATCCAGACTGGAGATGTTCTATGGAATATGATTTCTCCTCTGGTTATAACTGGAAGCCTAAAGCTACATGCTATCGTAAACACATCGTTATCAAAAAGCAAACAATGGCTTACCAGGGGGTTGATCCAACCAAGGTACATACTTCTGTTCCGTATGTTCCAATATGAGAGATTTTTCAGCAGGTCTTAAAAGGAACCATTTTGGCTGGATCAAACTCCTAAGCACTACTGCATACCGTAACGGATGGTATAATGGATACCATCATTATATGTTGCGGCTACAGGTATTTAGGGATGTCTGTAGCATTCTGTTCAGGTTGTGTCTAAGAACAAAGTTTTAAATTTTTTAAACATACCATCTAGTTTCATTTGTTCAGGACAATAATAATGTATTACAGCCAGTAAAGCAGCCCCGTCACTGCAGTCCTTCATCAGATCTTCAAGCAATGGGAAAAATGGCAACTGCCTACTTGAAAGGTGATCTCGGCGATAACGTACCTGTTCAGGGGAAGGCAAGGCTTCTTGTCACTTCAAGAAACTACTTTTCATGATGCAACAAGCTACTCACTGAAACTAGCTTTAACTATCAACCTGTCAATCTCAGAGCAGTTTTATCAGCAGCAGCCCACCCCACCCTTTAAGTAACCTTTTAAGAAAAAAATATACAAAGCTTTACTTAGAAGCAGCAAATGTCAAGTTCAGGAAGCAGAAAGGTTTGCAATTTGGATTACCAATAAATCTAATTAGCTACTTGAAAACCAGTTAACATCTAAACCCATCTGTCTTTCTTCCTCTGCTAGGGCATAGGACTATTATGTAATGAGTTACCATAACCAGGTATTTGCTCTTTAGTACTGCAGTGCTCCAAAATCAACAACTGCTTTGGCATAGAAGTCTTTGAACACACTTCCAGTGATTAAAACTGCAGGAGTTTTACTGAGCAGGAAAGGTACCCTTACATTAAACTAAAGCTACTGAGACTACTGCATAATGTAGCGTAAAGCAGATGCGATTTTCCAATCTAGCGACTAAATAGTACATAAGTGAAAATAATCCTAACAATTCATAAAAGATGTCGTTGTGACCATATTCAGCTGATGAATCACATTCAACTAATGCACCAAGGTACTTAAAATATTTAGTTATTTTCATCCAGAACATTAAAAAAAAACACCAAGATTGCTAGCCAGCTATGTAAGGCCACTTCTATGCATGAAACATGTATATATTTGAGGAAAGCACTGGCTGAGAAACTTTTCTGCAAATAAATCTTACTTGCTTACAACTACTGAAGAGAAAGTGGAGATGTAATGCCACAATGTTAGTGTCAAATTAGACAGTTTGGTTTAGTTTAGGATCACCCATGAGGGGTAACTAGAGCTTTGCCAAGTAATGTAATAATACTGTATTAAGATACAGAGAAATAAGTCTTTCTAAAGGATTAAGGACCACACAAGGAAACTTGAATTGAGAAATTTTATAATGTGAGGCACAGGTTGTGCTTCCTCCAGCCTGAAGCTCTCCGCAAATATGGAATGTAATGTAATGTAATGTAATGTAATGCGAAGTATACTATACCACACGAGCATATTCCACGGGTTCCAGCATGCAGTGCGAGAGCGCATGCATCAGATCAGACTTGCGCAAAGAAATAGCAAGGTACAAGACGGCAATCAGAATCATGTTACAGACTCAAGCACGTTACTACCCATTAAATCCTGAATTGGCTTATTTGAAGATACATAGTCAGGTGAGCTGGTTAGTTTAAAGTAGGGTTCCCCCGCCAATCTCCCCGCTGCTTATGAGGAAGCAAAAGCCATTCTAAGCAAACTGAAGTGCTCTCTCTAAACCGAAGTGTCGAATTCAATATATAACAATGGCTTCATTCGGGAATTTCAACAACTGTTACAAGCTGGAGACTTTTGCTCTGGGCTGAAGAATTCTCACATAGCCCATAAAGGCACAGAATGGGGTCTGTGAACCTGAGCAGGAGAGGCTATGCTACAACAAGCACTGAAGGAATACTGGACTAGTATTTCAGCAACACATCTGTGCAGCTTGCATGCGTGAGGGATGGCATCCGACTACAATCCTGCACATGTCACCGTGCTCAAGGGACAGATAACTTCTAACTGGGATGTGTCCATGAATGCAGAAATATTTTGCAGAACGCAGGAGCCACTAGACGGCCGTTTTATTCTTAAACACCATTTCAGTAATAACTGGCAGAACAGATCAAAGTAATACTTTGCATAGCCTAATATTCCCTTAGCAATACTACCCAGAATCAGACACTCCAGGGTATTTTAAGCCATCCTCAGTCTTTTCTTAATTACATCAGACTTGCAAAGACTGATTCTATCAGGTGTAGGAAGGTAATTTAGCAGGCAGTGCATTGAAATGTCTCTGTTATACATTCATGTGCATTCATGAAGGAAAAATAGACCCACATCCAGAAACAAAATGCAAAAGCCTCTTACCCATAAGAAAGTGAGTGAAACACTGAAGAAAGATTATGCTTTCATTATGCACTGAGAGTTTATAGTATGTTTGCGTGACATGCACAAACAGAACAACTGTCACTGTCAACAAGTTTTTCAGTACCATTCAACCTAAATCGAAGTGAAGAAGCCCATCCCATGAAATCCATTTCCAAAAATATACAAGCACTACATTACTTTAAACTGACCAGTTTCACCTTAGTACTTGATCATATTAATTTTATGAACAATCAGTGAGGCATAATCAGGTACAGATTATTCCTAATGTCCGACTGGTTTTTCTTGCTCCTTCACCTTCAGATTTCGAATATCAGCGATTCCGTAATGCTGTATAGTGAGGAGTATGCGGTATGTACAGCAAGTGGAATCATGTAATGGGGATTTACATTTTCTTCTCAAACTTGTACAAGGATGCTTTAAGCAGAAGAATATTGCAAACTGTGAAAACTGAATTGTAAATGGAAGCAAACACTGACAAAAGAATCATTAAAAGCCATGATTTTTGTGGATGACAGCTGTCACACAGAATCAATTCACTTACAGGTACTAATTTCCAATACCATTTGGAAGGAGACTGCTCGGGAAGCACGGTAGGGAACAGGGGAACAGGAGAGTAACATCAGCAGAACACATGATAAGCAATACTTAAAATGCACCTAATCCATAGACACTTTCATATTGTGGAATTAAACTGATACGGAAGTATTAACAATAAGCTGGACAGTGTCCCGTCAGAAACAAATACTAGTAGCAGTACTCATTCTGTAGTGAGAGATGCCAACGGAGTGTTTTCTTCTGCACCAATGATGAACGCTTCCGTAGCATTTAGTAAAACAGTTCTGCAACTGCAATACGGTGTTTACTGCTGTCTGGCTGAAGCATTCACAAGTTAAATCAAGTTTGACATCCCTTAATAGCTGATAAACGTTTACATTATCCACTAATGAAAGTGCAGAATTTCCTTACAATATTAGTGCATTGGAACAGTTAACAAGAGGGAAAGAAAAAGAGAGCTACACACATAGACGGTTAATCCCGTATTGAGAACAGAGGGTTAGATTTGATGGCCTAAATATTTAGTACATGCTTTATTAGTACTTCAAAGGGTTTCCTAACTACTGCAAATCGAAGTGTGATGCAGGGGTGACCCTGAAGGATCTTCAGAAGGAAAGCCAGAAGTCTTACATTATTCCAGTACATGAGACTGCACTGCATTCAAAGGTTAAGTAAGATACAGCATGGGCATTTCAACATATCAGAAACATGCAGAGTACAAACAGTGGCTCTAATCCAAAGTACCACACCAGCCTCCAAATGCTTCTCCATTCACTTTAAAACCACGGCAGATCTGCACACAAGTTTTGTACCCAGAGCTGAGCTTCACTCAAGTGAACAGGGAACCCCTCGACCATTTAGAAGCTGAATGAGGTCTTGGACTTTCAGGGTAAGAGAGAACAGGGTAAAGAAAAAAGAAGCTAGAAGCATCACATGTTGTACAAACTTATAGGCAGAAGAAGTACAAGAGAGTATTGTGAGTCTTCCCATCCTAAGCACAACACTGAAATTTGCTTTCAATACCCATCTGGATTACTTTAACGCTCCATTTCATCTAATGTGTGTTTTACCTTTTGATGACCTGGACTTTCTAGTAAATGCTGTTTCAGTTTTATCTCTTTTTCTGTAATCTCTCTCATTTTTAGGTTCACCTAGAATCAGAAAGAAGGTAAGGACAATTACTTTGCTTTCCCTAAAAAATCTTCTTATACATCTCTTCTGCGGAAATCAATTGAGCTTTAAAATACTTAACATTCATGGGATTATACCCTGAAAGTATAAGCCTACTACAGTGCAAAAGCTGAGACAAAACAATACTATGCTAAGAATTTTTTTGCCCAAACTGACCAACCCCCAACCAAACTGGGTTATTTTGTTAGCAAATCTGTACAATCCTAATTAATTGCTTTAAAGGCTTATTCTTAAAGACACAGAGACCAATATTGCCTTTGATTCTATCCAGGGTACTGAAATGTACAAGTTCTGAGCCAGACTTACATCAAGATATTAAGGCATCGTCTTATGCCATCATTTTACCTTATTAATCCAGAATATCATTGCATCCTCCAGATCATAGGGCAATTCTTTTGAGGCACTAAATGTAGAAAAACATTTGACACTTGCAACCACTTTTTCGATGCTGATCATTTCCACAGTGTAGGCCATCATGAGGGCATCAATCATTGCCATGTGAGGACTCTGAAAAGCAAAGGACACGGTCAGTGGAAACCTCTCTCAAGAACACTGGGGACTTGAGTGCCATTTCACTGATGCAAGGAGGTCAGATGTGAGGAAGCTCTGAGGTGAGGGAAAGAACTGAAGGACAGAATAAATGAAAGCTCCTTTTCAGATGCTAACCATTTTGATTGGCACACAGCTGAGATCCAATTCAGACACGGGGGTATCGTCACTCTCCATGACGTAAATCCCTTTCCGAGACAGAGCCTGGATGACCGACTGGTGTCCCTGCAGGGCAGCCACCTGATCCCCTTTCAGAATGAGGCTGCAGACACGGCAGTAGAGCTCGCTGGACAGTAACAGCTTGATGACAGGTGGTTTAATATGTTCTTGCTCATACTGATCTATATAAAACGGGTCTTTCAGTTCCTCTGGGATGTTATCTGAAACAAAGGAGGAATAAACCCAAAGACGTGAACTTAGTTATAAGCACAGTACATAAGCTGAAGATGCACGATGTCAGAAACAAACTACTTTCTAGTTTTTAAAAATATGGGAGAGCAAGAGATAAGCAGCTTGCCCTTACATAACATACTCATTTCTTGTTTCTATAGTGTTCTGCTAATCAAGCACAAGAATATTTCTTGTCACAACACCAGGGCAAGCTAATCAAGAAAGAATACATGAGTATTCATTTTCACAAATAGGCTAGGAAAGGGAAAGCGCTACCTTAATTGATCAGAACAAATAATCTGTGCTCAACCCTCTAGGCTTTTAGATATCAAACCTGCTCAAAATGGGGGCATAGTAAGCAGAACATGTGTACAAATAACATTCGCCTGAAAAGGTAAATTTCAGGTTGGTACATTTCTTTTGCAAGGGGTTTTAAAGCAAAATATTATCCTACCATGGTAATTTGATGATGAGAATATATTGTTCCAAATATTAAAACTTTTCAGTTCACACTCTTATTTCATCAAAACTACGCACTGAAACTAGACATCAGTTTAGTAATCTTGAGTTTTAGCATTTTAAAGCCCCATTTAATGAAACTTAGCCTACAGTTCTAAAACACGCTAACCTAGAAGTCCCATTGAGCTAAAGTGAGACTTATTTCTAAGTAGATATATACAGAGCAAAATTGTTCAATGCCTGACTCACCAATTTCAATACGATTTAAGCATGTTCAACTGGGTGCTGGTTTTTTCTCAGCTTGGTGTCAATTAATTCCCATACATGACCCTAAAAGAAATCATGGGCTATGCACAATTTTCCAGCGGTCACATTGTGTGAACAACCCAACCCCTGCATTTCTTTTGTAGTTTCAAAGTTGTCTTTGATGATTTTCAGGTGATTATTCTTAGCCAGTGTGTGAGGGAATACAATTATGTCCTTGAAATATTCCTGCATATCAGTGTGAAATGGAACTGGTAAATAGTGTGGGCAAAACTCAAGGCATCCAAACAAACTCAGTAGTAATAACTGAATGGTTATTGGCATATCATGCACAGTTCTTTGGGCTGATACCATTCATTCATTCATTCATTCATACATACATACATACATACATACATACATACATACATTCAGGTTTTTGTATACAGTTCTCATAGCCAAAACTGACTATCTGGATGGTTTAGAGTAATAAAATACAAAGAAAAACAGAATATATGCATTAATGCTATGCTAGTCATGAAGTTGCGTCTGACCCATCGCAACCCCATGGACAACACTCCTCCAGGCCTTCCTGTCCTCCACCATCCCCCAGAGTCCACCTAAGCTCACGCCAACTGCTTCAGTGACCCCCATCCAGCCAACTTATCCTCTGCCGCCCCCACCTTCTCTTGCCATCAATTGTTCCCAGCATCAGACTCTTCTCCAGTGAGTCCTTCCTTCTCATTAGGTGGCCAAAGTATTTGAGTGTCAGCTTCAGTATCTGGCCTTCTAAAGAGCAGTCAGGGTTGACCTCATCTAAGACTGACTGGTTTGATCCCTTTGCAGTCCAAGGGACTCGCAGGAGTCTTCTCCAGCACCAAAATTCAAAGGCCCCAATACATTAATATAGTAAAATGCAATAAAATACAACAAGAGAATAATACAATAATAACTTCATTTCAGCACCTAGACCAATCAGTAGAAAAACAAAAGTAACAAAAATAAAATCCAACATAAACAACTAAGTAAACAGTAAATACACAGATTAAATGTTTTTTAATGTGTGACTATCTTCACTGAAGAACATGCTATTGGTTTTCAGTCTTTACAAGTATTCAATAAGTACAGTTCATCGAACATAACATTTAAATAGCATTAAGTGCGCTTTTAAAGTTTTGCCTAAAACAAATGTTTTGCTTGCGGAGCGTTAACATTAAAAAAAAAAAATTAACATGGGACACATTTTTAAAGCCTTGTTGTTTACAAATACAAGTAAATGCACACAATTAGATCATTCTCTTGTGCATCTGGAAATTTCCTGAAACCCAATAAAGTTGTTTTTATAAGATAAATTCCAAAAGAAAATTACACTAATTTGCACAGGATTATTTTTCATCACTGGCTCAAACAAAATGACAAACCACTGTTAATCTTATCAGTCGTTTGCAACGAGCTAAATTCAAACTAAAGGTAAGCTGCTTCAGCAAAGTAGCTTTCTTTAGCCCTAGTTAAAGTCTAAAGGCTTGGCTGCAGTTCCCCAATTCTCAGCATTTCTACTTGTGGAGATACAGGCCTGTTTAAGGTATCTGCCATCCTTCTTTCAGTCCATCAAGAGATTTAGGTAGAACATTTTTTTTTAATAATTACCAAAGTAGTTTTTCCTTGCTGCTTCATCCCCGCAACTGACTGTTTGAAATCCTTTATATATTTCCATGTCCCATCGATAATTATTTTAGCAAGTGTTCAGTTCTTCATAAGAATAAGAACAATGCAAGAATACCAGTGATGTGAGTTGCATATCTATTTTTGGAAACTGCTACGTGCATATAACTATTCGACTATAAACAGGCAAAGGCTGAAGCTGTTATCCAGCAATACGAAGCGTTGTCTCTCTCATTCCCTTGACAGTTTGTCAAGCAACCTGCAGTATCCCAACAAAGCAAGACATCAGTCCCATCTCCAAAGAAAGCTGCACTTCAGTTGATGAATTTCAGTCACAGTACTAGACCTGCAGTTCATTTTGAGCTGTCTTTAGCTCAGCTAATCCTTCCCAAATCTAATTTCCACATCGATTAAAAAGTTGCGAGGTTTTCACATCCATAGGTTGTTTTATAAAGCACAAGGCAACAAGTTTGAAAAAGACGGGAAGCATCTGATCAACATCAGCACCACTCTGGAAGATCCCCCATGGGATACTTAGTTTGTCCAGATTAAGTCACAATACCAAAGGGCTCCACATTACCAAAACTAACGATTGCAACATAATACATCACACCTTTTTATAGTTTTATGCTGTCTTTTCATTATTACGGTGTATTATAATAACAGCACCTGTCTAGAATGCCTGTTATCAAACAGAACGTAAATATATTAAAATAAAAGCCAGAACTTAAGTTCTCTGTGCTACACAGATGTGTTAACAGATAACTTTAAGCCTTGCAAAGAAGTCAGGGTTGTTGCAATCAGTGATGTGGAGTAGCAATTGTTCTAGTCCTTCATTTTTCTGCAGAAAATAATCTTTTGCAAACTGTAATAGTAAAAGTGAACGCATGTCAATTGCAAATATAATAATGGGCACGCTTAGCAGCTTCAAAGTTGGAATCATTGTTTCCCAAGTGAATTACCTCTAGCAAGAAAATGGGAAAAAGGGAAGCTTCTTGGTAATTTGAGGCCATTCTAGAGGGCTTCCTAGAAACCTGGATTAAACCTCTTCCTATGGTTGGCACATCGGGTCCTCTCTAGAAGGAACATCTACAAAGCGTTCCCAGGTGAGTGCAGGCCATGCCTCCATCTCCTCATGTCAGCCACCATAATTACTTCCATTATTAAGTGTTAACCACTGCACTAACATTAACAGAAGTGAGAATATCAAGAAATGAAAAGGGAGGAGATTGCCTGGAATCCTTGCCTACCTACTGCACACGCACAGTGACGCTGGAAGCCCTAAGAAAAGATTGCACACTTCTGCAGAGTAACAGTGAGGGCAAAATTTCCTCCAGCAGCAACTGTGGACAGGTAGGAATTTTCTCTTTTCCCAATACCTCCTGGAAGGTATTAAAGATCTCTCCGACATGGAAAGGAAGCCCCATTCTAAGGCAAGCCTACAGTGAAGACCCTAACCCACGTGCACACTCTGTAGCACCCTTCTGCCAAACGCTACACCTGTAGAAGAGACCATGACAACCTTCCACGCTTGGCAAAAATAGGAAAAGAAACTTCAGTGCTCATCGGCCGGAGTGTGAGCCTGAAAGGCAGCTGTAGCGGCTGAGCCTCTGAGCGAACAAGCAGAAATTCCCGCTGGAGGCACCTTCTTCAGAGACTGCCAGCACAGCGCAGCCCTGCACCCATTCAGAAAAGCCCCAGTGATCACACAGAGCACCTTCATATCGATATTAGACAATGTCTAACCTGCAGGGTAAGATACTGCCCTGCAGGACCCCACTGCTCATTTGCCAAGAATGAGAATACTCTGTCAAAAAAGCGGAGAGCTCCCAATGGAGGCAAGCAATTTTATATATTCTTGCAACATATTTAGCAACAACAACAACAACAACAACAACAGTAAAGTCTACAAGATGGCAATTCAGAGCAAGCAAGCAAGCACTGGACAGTTTAGTAACATAAGCTAGCTAAACATGGACTTTGTATTTTATTCTCAGCTGCTTCAGCCATAGGTCAAGAAATACTACATGTATACCAGCTTTATACTGAAAGATTTTGTCCTGAGGACCCACTTGTCCTATTATTTTAAAGTGTCTACCCCACCAAGCCTGTTCTAGGAGTCCCAGTGCAGAGCGGTTTCCACTGATTCCAACAGCCGGGGTCTGAGGCAAAAGATGTGTGTTCCACCACATTAATGAAAGGCACATTTTAGTTTCCAGTCATAGGAGACACAATCCTGTTCCTAATGTATTTGCTCCCCAGAAAACTATGCTTTATTTCATGAGTGAGTTCTGAATTTGCAAATTGGGCTTTGCGGCATCTATCTCAGCACAGAGCCATTTTAAATTCAAGCGACAAGTGAATGCCATCTGATGGTCATGCATTATTACATGTTCCACCGAACAGATGGGGATTCTGAAGATACAGGTTCGGTCTGATCGTCACCACAACACATGCGCTGTAGGTAAGCCAACTGTCTCTCTTGTCCCAGTGTATCCTGCACATGATGCCGTCTCACTGCACGGTGTCCATACCGATGGCTAGCACAACCTGCAAGGAATTGTCAGTGATGGGATCTGTTCCACCCTCTCCCTCTCCTTTCTAGCATCTTTGTTTTCTGTGCAGT